AAATATATATTATATTTTAGTATATTATTATTTTATTTTATTTTATTTTATTTTATATCATTATACATTATTATATAGTATATTATATAAAAATATATATCTATATATATATCATGTCTCGTCCGGCCCCTTAAACACAAGGGTGGTATTGAGCGGGGAGATATTTTTATGAGTATTACATTGTAAGATGGACACTCATTCAGATACCTCATCTTCTGTTTATTCACAGATACGCCTTTCCCCCAGCGAGTTGTTAACGATATAGGCAAATTGGAACTGCTTGTAGCTGGAAGGAAAGAGACATCCTGTCGTCGCAGGCTTTAAACGAGGTGAAGAGTGTCCCGATAGTGAAATTCTCGTATTAGCAAAAGGCCCGACCATCGCAGACATCTCTACACATCTCGCACATTTCTACTTGTATTGTTGATGCAGTGGATGGGCCTTCAATTCCAGAACTCTCAATACGAAAAGACTCGCATTAGCACGCCCCCCGCCCACCGCTCACCCCTTACGCACTTGCGAGTCATCTACTATGTCAGCAAGGGATGTGCATCATGGGGCACAGACACAGCTCTCTCGGTGCGGGTTGCTTTCTGACGCATCAGTGAGTGTGCACAGACGGTCTCATATACGATTCAGTGATCCAGACAAGCGGTCACCCAGCCGCACTTGTGGGCGAGCTGATACACGGATTAATGGAACTGGTACGAACTTAGCCAGGTACAACTGTGGACCTCCGACACTGCTTGTGATAACTGCCTTGGGGCAAGGTATTACGGCGCGGGCAAGTCACAAAGAACAACCAAGGATCTCTATGGGTGGTATCGACCTGACCGGGACTACAGCAGGGCTTCAAGACACGGCGGCAAATGATGCGAGTTCGCCTCGCAAAGCTAGTGCAGTCAGAGAGTCGATTAACCAGACTCGTCTCGACACCCAGTCCATGGTACCGAGGATTAGACGATCCAAGGCAAGATACAAACACATCACTGCACACGCGGGTATCGGCAAACCGACTGCGGTGCCAAAGATAAGTCGTGCCAAAGCTTTGTATAAATTTGGCTCCACCGGACGTTCGAGACGCCAGGCGTGTGGTGTTGAGAGCCCTCACCTACCAGAACTGTGTGGCGGGGTGAGCAGCAAGTATGACTGTGCAGCCAACATCAACGTGAAGGAGAGGAAGGGTTCCGAGATACAAAACTTGGGAGTGGCGATAGATAAGGAGGCTACCTCCGCCTGTTTGATTGGCACGCGACGTGTACTGGCAGGTGAGATGCAAAAGAACATGTCAGTGTATATTAATCAGCGTAAGAGATGTAAAAGGCTGTATACACGGGGTGCAGCGAATTCACAGATCGAGGTGGGGAACAAGGTTGAACGCAACAATTCCGGCCCCAAGGGCTGTTCGGATTCGAATGTCTGTGCTAGTTGGCACAAAATCAAGTCTGATTCTCGTACCAGTACTTCCGAGTGTGACAATGAAACCTTGACAACACAAGACGCAGAAGTGCAGGCCAGAATATCCGACCCAAAGGCGAGAAAGAGAAAACACGGACGGGACACGCCTGAGATAGAGAACCCGACGGGAACTTTGATGAGCTCTGGTGACAAGTGCCAATTATTACATACAGAACAATTAGAGTCCTCCAGTACAAATCTAATCTGCCAGCGCGCTACAACAAGAAACACAGACGACCGTTGTAAGGTGTCGGCTGATGTGCGGGTTGGTGTACTTGTGAGCGAGGGAACTGCCGAGACAAACACCGAACTCTCTCATCCTCCCGCAGAACCGAGATCTACCGGTCCTGCCGACTTTCACATGAAGCCGAAAATACCTCTGGCAATGGTCACCGAGCTAGGTACCGATGCGATGCCTGAGAAGGGGGGTGGTGTCCAGGACTGCGGTTTTAGCCCCGATATTCTAACCCCCCCCTTACTTCCAGAAACAACAGTACCGACGGAGCCTGGTCTACAAATACCTATCGGTATAACGCAGAGAGGTTCGTTGCGTGAAGGCTGCACTAGATCTGGCATGGTGTCTGACACAGTGTCTAACACAGTCTCTGACACAGTGTATGACATGCTGTCTGACACAGCGTCTGACATGCTGTCTGACACAGCGTCTGACATGCTGTCTGACACAGTGTCTGACATTATGCCTGTCACAGTGTTTGAGGTAGGGTCTGAGATAGTGTCGGACACAGTCTCTGGTTCACTACATGCTGGTGGTGGGGTCACTACATGTGCATGGTCAGGGTGTGGGTTGTCTGTCAACGACAGCGATGCACTGAGGACTCATCTGAGTTGTCACACCGGTAAGTTGACGGTCGACTGTATTGCTCCTGGGTGTCCCAGAGTGTATACGCATACCAATTCTCTCCGGAAGCATGTGAAGGAGTCACATTACAGGACCAGGCCGTTCGCATGCCCGTGGAACGATTGCAATTTACTGTTTAATATTTTAGGTAAACTTATCGCTCATACACGAGAACACACTGGCGAGAGTGCGTTTGCTTGTTCGTGGGTAGGCTGTAACGCGATGGAGCGGAGTGCAAAAAATCTAGTACAACATGTGAGTACTCACTGCGGAATCCTCCTATACATGTGCACACACAAGTTCTGCAATGAGGGATTCATTAGCGAACAGTTATTAGCCAAACATAGTGCTAAGCACAGTGCTGTACTTTCTTGCGAGTGGGAAGGTTGTGAGGTCAAGCTGCGGTATGAGAGTCACCGTACAGTGCATATGAGGGTTCATACTGGTGAGCGCCCGTACGAGTGCGCGTGGGAGGGGTGTGGTAAGAGCTTTCCAAGAAAGACCGACCTGACAGGACACATGTGGACGCACTCAGAGGCTCCTGGCGTGTCACGGGACAGAGAAATCGGACCATTACGCTCTTTAACACACTCGGGTGGTACGCTTTCAAGTAACGGTATGAGTGCGGGGTCACTTCAGACCCCAACAGCCAGCATACCAGCGTTGCAGATCAAAGAGGAGCATATAGTGGAGATTTTAGGGACAAACTCGAATAGTCGCGAAGGTATAGCGGAAGGTTCGGAGGGATCCGTAAAAAAGCGCGAGAATGTGGAGGATGAACTTGAGAGTACTTTGGCCAATTGCGAGACTTTGAAAGACACGCCGCAGAGCATAACAGACCGTATGCCCAGCACAGTGACAGCTAATAACGTGCACTCGAGTGGCAGTACCCACTCTGCTGCCGAGGTGTTTTTGTGTGCGTGGGAGAGGTGTGCCGCGCGTGTGAGTGATAGGCATACGCTTCAACGCCATATGACTGAGCATGTAAACGACCTGTGCCCCTTCCAGGCCTGTGCGTGGGCTTCGTCTCCGTCTGACTTAGCTGTGCATGTTGCTTCGCACCTGCACCTGCAGCATGGCAAGTACAGGTGTGATCACAGCGGATGTGCATACGCCTCCACTAACTGTAGCAGGCTTGTTTCCCATGTACGTACGCATACGGAGGGTTATCACTTTGGCTGTTCCTGGGATGGCTGTGAGTATAGATCGCTCAGCAAAGCTTTCGTTGTAAAGCACATGGTCTATCTACACAGTGACACACAGCCGTACATATGCCCTACCGAGAATTGCAATAGAAAGTTTGCTACCAAATTAGGCGTGAGCAGGCATATGCGGGCTCATCTCGTGCATGTAGCATCTGGCGACGACAGATTGGATTCCTCAAAAGCCAAGCTCGTTTGTGTATATGAGAACTGCGGTGTGACTGTGTCCGATGGAGACGCCTTACGGAAACATCTACCTCTCCACGTGATGGATCTGCCTGTCACGTGCCCGTACACAGACTGTGTTTCGGTGTTCCCATCCGTAATCGATCTGAACATGCACGCCAGGAGACACTACCACCACAACAAACCGCTGGCCTGCACCTGGACTCATTGTGGTCTGACAGTCGCCAGTGGTGATATTATAGGCACGTTCCTGACTCATATGCGCACTCACACGGGGGAAAAGCCCTTTGCATGCACGTGGAAAGACTGCGACAAGACCAGCATGACGTGCACTGAGAGCGTACGGCATATGATGCACAAGCACAGTGGCGTGTTGCCGTTTGCGTGCTCTGTGTGGGGCTGCCATAAACGGTATGCACTGAAAAACGACCTGCGCCAACACGTGATGTCACACAGCAATAACTACGTGTGCACGTGGAACGGCTGCGGGAAGAACTTCAGTTTTAAGACTAGTTTTACGCGGCATTATAAGACCCACAGGAGTGATGGGCTGGGCATTGTGTATGTCCAAGCGCAGCTTGCCCACGCCAACTGATAGCTTTACCGCACCGCATATGTGCAATGTACACGTAGATTAAGTCGACACTAAAAGCACTTCATGGGTAATTATCGCGACATATTATTCAATGCATAAG